GCCCGGCCCCCGCTCCCCAAGAAGGGATGATTCTATGCCAGGGTCAAAGCTCAAGGTACTTTCAGGGAATAGAGTGAGCCGATTCATAGAAAACATGGATAAACGCTGGTGCTCTAGTGATATTTGGACACGTGTGAAATGCACAGACACAAAGCCATTCCCGATCATGTTTGAGCATCTTGTGCCATCTATAGGATAACTGATTTTCTCTCAAAGGTATTATCTTTTTGGATAGGAAAAAAATCACAATGTGATGTGAAAAAAACTGACACTGTTTATGGAAAAACACACAATCACTTAGGTCGGCTCAATGATGAGGTAGAATGCATTACTCAAAAGCAGCCGGATCCCATGTGATGCCACAGTTCAAATCCCTGGACTGACCAGCCTGCAACACACAGAGCAAACAAGGAATGCCCAAGATCTGCGGGGCTGCAGACCTGAAGGAAGGGAATCGTGGCGCGATCAGACCCTTGGAGGGCATTAAGCTCTCTCTCTCATTTTCTTTCTCTTTCAATCTCTCTCTTTTATGTGCATGCACTCTATCATAAAGAAGGGAAAAAATGTAATTACCAAACTTTTTTTGAATGATTAAATTTTGAAAACAATTCTATTTTGCAAATGTAAAATATTCAATTATCTCCCTACTGATATAGTCTACAGTTACATTATTTATTTCAACATTTTCATTGCAAAGGATAAATAGGTGCTCATTATTTTTACAAGTATGGCTATAACAGTCCTTATTTTGCCAGCTAGTAAAAGGGAATATTAATTTTGCATTTTTTTCCTGACCTAGAAATCCTGTTAATAAAAATTAATGCAAAGTTAAAACATATTTAATGTTATTTTAAGAAAGACATCATCTTAATAACTTAAAGAGGAAGTAGTTTTTGTTGTTGTTGTTAAAGATCTTTTATCTTTGCTTCTCAGGCTTGGTAGAGTACAGATGCTTCCCTTTGTTAGAATTCTCACTTGCTGAAAATTAAAAAAATATATATTATATATGTGTGTGTGTGTGTGTGTGTGTGTGTGTGTGTGTGAGAGAGAGTGCTTTTGTTGTCATTGTTTTAAAAACTCTTTTCTATCAATATGTCATGAAATCATCAGAACAAAAGAAATAGGATTATTTTTCTCAAAATTGGCATAATTCTGGGTTGGCTCAGTGACACAGCTATGACTGATTGCTGGATCCACCTGGATGATCTGTCTGTCTCTCACTCTCATGAGATCAACTTTTACAAAAATGGCATCGGGCCCAGCAGATGGTGTAATGGTTACATTGCTGGACTCTCACGTAGTCAACCACAGTTCAAGTCCCAGATCCAGCGGCTTAAAGCAATGCCAGGCACATGTGTGTGCCTAAAATCCCAAGAAGAGAATGGAGGAGAAAGGACTTTGGCATGGCCATCCCCGGGGGGGGGGGTAATTTCTCTGTCTCTCCAGTGAGTAAACAGATATCTCTATTACAAAAAACTACCCCCCTCAAAAAAAGGGCATTATTCTGACTAGCTATACTTTTAACTTTATTATTGCTATTTTAAAATTTGTTATAAGATATGTGCACAACTTGGGAGAAAGAGAGGGACAGAGAAACAGAGGGGGACTGTGAGAAAGCACTTCTCAGTAGGGGTGGCCACACCATAATCCCTTCTCCTTGATTCTCCTCTAGGGATTTTAGGCAAGCACACACAGGTGCCTGGCATGACTTTCAAGCCTCCAGGTCTGGGGTTAAACCACATCTGGCCATGTGGGAATCCAATACCTTAACTACCATGCCCAACCTTCTGTTCTTGGGGATCTTTCTAAAAATGATTCTGACTCAGTTTGGGAGTGGTGCCAGAGAATCCGCATTGAAACATAATGCCCAGCGAGGCCTATGCTGCTGGTCTCAAGACAATCATTTAAAGTTCTGTATAGGGTGGCATGTACACTCGCCAGAGGGAGTGGAAAAGTGAGAAATCATCTACTAAGGGGGCTGGCCATGCCACGGTCCCTTCTACTCCATTCTCCTCTTAGGATCTGGATACACATGCACATGTGCATGCCAGGCACATTTTTAAAAGCTCCCGGGCCTAGTATTCAAACCTCACAGTCAATCATGTGGGATCCAGCTGCCTTAACCACTGCGCTACCTGGTCTGTCCACTTTTAAGTTTATTTTTAAAGTAACTGAATAATTTATATGCTGTGCCTTTCCTGCTATTGTGGCAGCTTACTAATTTCACTAGGAAGTTAAACAGTAATGGTAGTAAGTTAGATAAATACTAGGAGGTGATAGTGAAGTAAGTACACTGTGCTATTTCTTTAACTTTCTCATTGAACCAAGTGTCTCCTAAAGTTCTATCAGAATAATAGTTGAAAAACAGCAAATCATTTAAATCATGTTTAAGCTGGAAAGTGGTTTAATTACTACCATGGAGCCGACAGACACAGGCCGCTGCACAGTAAGAAGATCTGAGATTGGGTCCTAGCTCCACTGCTCACCAGCTGTTTCACCTCTGACCTACGCAGTCTTCCAGGCTCCTTTCCTTCATGGGTAAGGATAATCCTCATGCAAGGAATGTCTCTGTGGGTAAAACTGGAGGTGACAGGCACCGCCACTGTGGGCATTCAGGAGAGAGATGAGGAAGGACTCGGAATGCGAGGACAGCACAGCACAGGTGCGAGCCGTGCGGGTTATTTGTTCTTTCGAGTTACGTTCAAACCAAAAAAACACGACTTTCAAAACTCTCAGGGGGGAAAAAAATCAAGATTTCTAATCTACAACTCCCAGCAAGACGTCCTTGGCCATCTCCTCTACTCTCCCACACTGAACTCAGTTATCACAGCACTGCCTCATCTAGATGCATTCCCATCATCCCACTGTTTCCTATCAGTAGAAATATTGTTTTTATTTTCTCCAGGTTTATAACTATGTTTTTCGATTCTTTTGTGACCTGCTCCCCATTTGGATTCATCAAAAACAAACAAAAAATCCAAAACCCCATAAACAGCCTCTCCAAAACTCCAATTACCGAAAGTTTACTCTGGGTTTGTGATACAGTTTCTCTTCCCCACGTTAACGAGTGTGTTAGATTTAAGCTCCTTGTCATGCTGGCTCATGTTTAAGTACTCATGAACAAAAATGGCAATGTTGTTTATTTCTACGCACTAACTACATCTAGAACATTTACTATTGGAAGGTGTACTTTGGTCCTGAGCTGAGTATTAACTCTTCCTACTTTCCCCTCTTTCAGCTTCGTACAGGCTGGATTCCACCAGAGTGTCTCCCAGTGTATGCACCAAGAGCTCTAGTCCACACTGTAGGAGTGAAGTCGGAAGTGTGTTAGCTCCTACTGTGGTCTACGCACACTTTTATTGGGACAGTCTTCCATGGGGCACAATTACCGATTTACATTAAGCTAATTTTTTTCAGTTTTCTTTCTGATTTATATTTCATTCTGTCCCTTAGACTATGGATCTGTAACTTGAAGGCAAAGTCAAGAATTGATTGTATTTGTATTTCTAGTACGTAACAGATATTCCCTAAATGGTAAACGGCCAAATGGCTACATCTTACATTCGTAAGTAGTTGACATTTTTTCCATAAAAGTAACAGGATGATTTAAATATTTTCTACCTCCTTGTTTTTGGCAGGATACAATCATCATGGTGCTGGAATTACTGATTCTCTTGGGGGCTGCAGTGACATTGCAAGCAGACTTACTTCCTGATAAAAAATGTAAGGACTTCTATCCAATTTAATACTGTTTCTTTTAAAAAAGAAAAGTATATTACAAAAAGGTTTATGCTCCCGAATAAACCCTCCATTAGAAAAGTTAAATGTAGATTTTTATAACAGAAAATGTGTATCTTTATGAGAAGGCAAACTCTTCAGAATTTTGTCTTTTAAGAGAGCGATGTTGGTGGAGACAGCAAATGGCATAATGGTCATGACACTGGACTCTTACTTAGTTGACTGTGGTTCAAGTCCTGGACCCGGTGGCTTAAAACTCACACTGGGTGCATGCATGTATGCCTAAGATCTCCAGAAGAGAATAGAGGAGAAGGGATCGAGGCATGGCCCCTCTGCCCCCCCCCCCCCAAGATTTTCTCTCTTTCTCTCTCTCCAGTGAACACACGTGCCCTATTGCAAAAATCTCAAAAAAATAAAAAAAAAGAAAATCAATGTTGGCTAAAATGCAAATTTTATGTTGCTCTGAGAAATTAAATTCAACGAGTGGATACATAGGTACTAGAAAATAAAGTTGGCCCTGGGGGCTGCATTTGGATGTTCTCCCATGCAAAAGAATGGTTAAAAGTCCTTACACCTGGGCCTAGCAAGTGGCATGGTGCTTAAAGAGTTGGACTCCCAGATGGCTAACCACAGTTCACATCCTGGACCTAGTGGCTTGAAACTCATACCACATATGTGTACATGTGTGCCCAAAATCCTGAGAAGAGAATGGAGGAGAAGGGACTGCAGTGTGACCATCCCCACTGTGGATTTCTCACTTTCTCTCTCATTACGTCTCTGTCTCTCTGGTGAGCACACACACCCTATGCCAAAAAACTAAAAAGAGCCCTTGCAACCAAATAAGGAACTCCCATTATTTTGTTCTGGAACTTCTTGATCTATGAGTTTGGTGTGATGATGGAGTTTAAGACAGGAAAACCGTCATGTGGTCCAGGGCAGCACTGCCTAACGGAACTTCCTACGATCCTGCCCACTCCACTTGGCACTGTCCAGGCTGTCAGCCGCTAGCCACCTGTGACTAGTGAGCATTTAAACAAGGAAAGTGCAACTAAGGAAAGAAATATTTGAAGTTACTTAATTAAAATCTTTCTTATTTAAGTGGCCACAAGTAGCTAGTGGTTCCCATAATCAACAGCGTGATACAGACAGAGCCCTAAAAATCCTAAAGGGGCACATGTGAACACAGTAGGTGGTCAACAGAAAAAAAACCTCACTACTTAGTGAATGAATAAAAGAAGGTTTCTTAATTATGCGTACATTATCCAGATTTTAGTATAAATATTAACGAGTTACATAATATGCCCAGAAAAAAAAATATATCACATGTTTATGCCATTCTCTGATAAGATTATGGGAAATTTGCACTTTCTCATCTGTGCTTTTCAACATTGCTACAATGAACTAGTATTGATTTTGTAACAAATTGAAAGCTTTTATTTCGATGGCAAAATCAGAGTGGTTCATGCAAGAAAAACAAAACATCTTTCTTTTTACAAATGTCTATTTAAAGAGTTTGACTTGCAAATATTTTGACTGTGACTCATAATAAGAAATGAATTTATATCATGAACTCGTATACGTACAAATATATCAGTACCTTCATATAATGGAAACAATTTTATCACAGCCCATTAATGAGCAATGACCCTCAGTTTGGAAGCTACAATTATAATGAAAACTGATATAGTAAAATGTTCATCTCTCAATAAAAAGAATGCAGATATTATAGGTAAATACTTGGGCAAAGTAAAAAAAAATAATTAGAAACAATTTCAAAGGTACTTCAGAAATTATTTCAGTATTAAATTCTAATAATAAAATGAAATAGTACACAATAAAATATTTTAAAAGTTTAAAAAGTGCTATTATAATTGAACAGTTTTCTTTGTTTTGTGTTTGTTTTTTCAATCAGTTGTACTTCTCCCACCTGTCAATTTCACCATTAAAGTTACTGATTTAGCTCAAGTTTTTTTACGTTGGGAGCCAAATCCTGATCAAGAACAAAGGGAAGTTAATCTAGAATATCGTGTAAAAATAAACGCCCCAGAAGAAGATGATGTAAGTGTTTAATCTAATTTGAATCTTTTCCTTAGATTTTAAACTTCATTTTCTTTTTCACCTTCAAGTTTACATAAAAAGAGGAAAACTGCTGATGGGCTTTTTGTTATAGTCCCAGTGGATTAGTGTCTGTTCAAAGGGCCAAAAGCCCAGCACCATGTACATTGCTGAGCATTAAAGAACAGCACAGACCATTTTAACTTGGGGACAATGCTTTTGCTTAGAAAAAAAAATGTAGTTACTTTTTAAGTGCAAGGGATTAGATACTAGTTTTCTGTTTCCTCTAAAATGGCCAAAAGAACAGAAGAGAGAATAGCCTCATAAAATGCCAGAGGGTGGGCCAGCAGGTAGCATGATGGTTAAGGCGCTGGATTCCCACATGGCTGACCATAGTTGGAGTCCTGGACCCAGCAACTTGTAAATCATGCCAGGGACATGTGAGTGCATGCCCAAAATCCCAAGAGAGAATGAAGGAGATGGTATTGTGATGAGGCCATCCCCCAGGGGATGATTTCTTACTTTCCCTCTCTCTGTCTCTCTCTGTCTGGTGAGCACACATACCCTAGGATAAAACCTTTAAAGAAACAAAACAAAAGGGACAGAGGGCTGTGTATGGAGTCAGAGAAACCAAGTTCAAATACTGGTTCACTCAACCTTGTACCAGTCATTAACTTGTCAGAGCTGTGGGTTTACTACAGGGATGTGCTACAGCACCTGCTACATCAGAGGTGTGTAATAAAGGCAAACAAATGGAGAGGGGATTACCAACAACCGCTTTTTCAGTTAATATGGAATTTTGGAGACTTTTCTGTCAAAAAATTACCTCTGGGGAAGGGATTAGAACTAGAGCTGTGACCAAAGTGAATCTGAGCCTTCACTGTAATATTTTGTCTGTTTTTATAAGAATATGTTCATGCATCATTGAAGAATACGTTATAAACAATGACTTTGCTTTTCATTTTTTTTTTTAGCAAAACAATTTTATTATATTTATGTGTAATTTAAAAACTGGAAAAAATGTCTATTGGTTTAAACGGTTCTCTTCAGGCTATTTTTCTTATATGCTAACACCTGGGGTTCTGTTTCTAGTATGAAACCAGGAGCACTCAAAGCAAATGTGTGACCATCTTGCACAAAGGCTTTTCAGCGAAGGTGCAGACCATCGTGAGGAGTGAACACTCCCTCCTCACCAGCAGCTGGGCATCTGCAGAGCTCCAAGTCCCACCAGGTAAAACTGATTCTAAACCTCCATTTTTCTATTATATTTTGGACTTGGTAAATATAGTAAAGCAGAAAAACCACAACTCACTTTTTTCTAGTCGGTTTGCATCGTCACCATCCTAACCAAGGCTGTAACTTATCACAGCTCATCCAATGCCGTCTGGCACATCCCTGCCAAATGCTCACTGTCTCCACATCGGCCTCCAGTGGAAAGCTGGTGCTCTGCTACTTACAACCTGTAGTACACACACACACACACACACACACACACACACACACACACACACGTGCACAGAGAAAAGAGGCAAAGCACCCCACCAGGTCCTGGGATGTGTGGATGCACCAAATAACACTTGCTCTGGTCCATATGGCTCGGGGGTTATTTAAAGCATTCTCCCGTCCACATCACATGATGAAAAACCCATGCCTCCCAAACTGTGCTGGTGACTGAGAACAGTATCAAAGTTTGCGCACTAGCTACAATGCATTATCTAGACCATATACCAGCCAGCTGACAATGGGCTCATCCCAAGAACAGAGACTAATCCAAGACAGACAGGTTATCATCAATTTGGGTCATGTGTTTAGATCAAACCACTGTCCCACCTCCCCATATAAATAATTGGATTGTACCTACAATGTACTTTTCAGTCTCATATCTCTGCAACTCCAATGACTATCTCACTACTACAATACAGGCTGACACTGATGAAAAATTAATGAATTCTTCCTTGAACCAAAAGAGAATTCACACCAAGTAATTTCTTGGATGGAAACTGTAAGACAAGCAGACTTCAGGAGCTCTAAACTGTCCTTGGGCATGAACCATCTGGTTACTTGGTGCTTGGAGAGATATGTATCTATAGCTATAATGTACAACGCATATAATATCTATCTTTATGCTCCCTGCCTTTGGGGGTGATTTTCAAAAAGTTCACGGAAAACATGTATTATAAAAAAATTATTCATGAATTTCAAATTTTCAAATTTTTCTATCAAATAAACCCCTAATTCTGTTTTTTTCACAAACTTTTTGAAATATACATACATACATACATAGGTGTTGCACATGTATCAATGAAGCAAACCGAGTTCAATCTCTGTTCTTCTTGGCTTTAACTTCTCTACAGATAAGAGGATTTTTTTTTTAAATTTGCTACAGGGCATGTGCACTTACTAGAGAGAGACAAGAGACAGAGAGAGATGGAGACAGAGACAAAGACAGAGAAAGTGCAAAAGTACCCCCTAGGGGGATGGCCATGCCACAGTCCCTTCTCCTCCATTCTGCTCTTGGAATTTGGGGCATGCACACACACGTGCTTGGCATGCTCCTCAAGCCACCAAGTCCTGGAATAAAACCATGCAGTTGGTGTGGGATCCAGCCACCTTAGTTACCATGCCACTGGCTGGCCCAATAGGACTCTCACCCATCATCTTTTCTCTCTGCCCCTTGAACACCACTGGCTGACAGCAATAAAAATGGTAAGCTGACTTACACCAAACTGAAAAATCCTCCCTTCTATCTTTCAAGGCTTCCACTCTGGTAAGGTCTTCCTTGGCCTCCAGCACAAAATATGATTTCTCTGAGTAACCACCACAGGGTGGGTGTTTCCCATACCATGTTCTGAAGATCAACAATTAAAATGGTGGCAAGAGGGTTTGAAATGCAAATAAGGCTTCTCGTCACATCATTTTGGGAAATCCAGGATGAAATAAAAATAAAGAAATTTCACTTAAAATCATTTTTTTTTCCTTTTAAAGAGATTTTTGTCTTAAGGCATGTACACTCACTGGAGAGAGAGACAGACAGTCAGAGAAAAAGTGGGAAATCACCCCCTAGAAGGATGACCATGCTGCGATCCCTTCTCCTCCATTCTCCTCCTGGGATCTTGGCCATACACACACATGTGCCTGGTGTGATTTTTAAGCCACTGGTTCTAGGACACCATCCAAGGTTGGCCATGTGGGAGTCCAGCAATGTAACTACTACACCATCTGCTGGCCCCAAAATCTCAAGACTCCCTTAAAGTCCTAGTAGATAAAAGGGACTTTAAATATCAATGTGCATCGAGTCTCCAAAATATTGCTATTCTTCTGCAGTGGTGATAAAACTTATTTGCTTCTGAACAGTAATCTATGTAATTCATAGAACCTTTGGAAAAATAAATCATACAATTCTAGGATGGAAAGAACCAGCCCTTCCTCAACCAACCCTCCTACTTACATTTGGAAAAACCAAGACCTGGGATAATAGGGTGAAGGTCTCATGGGAGTGATTGACAAATGAGGCACTAGAACACCAACCTCTCTGTGACAATCTACTGCCCTTGAACTTTCATATATGCATGTCACAAACACAACCCCACCCCCACCTAAAGTAGCTAGAAAGCTCTTTGGTGCAGGAAACTGGGACTTTGCAATTCTAGTTTCATCTCTCTAGAAAGCTGGTCTTTTGCAAATAGTATGTTTCTATAAATAAGTGATGACGATCACTTTTTGGTAATGGATAAGATGTTCACAGTTACTACAACCTCAAAAGAAGCATAGACTTCAGAAACCATTACAGAAATGTTTTGTTCTTTTTATTTTTGACCACCTAGGGTCTCCTGGAACCTCAATTGTGAATTTAAGTTGTACCACAAACACTGTACCTAATAATCATGCAAACTTGCAGCCATACCAAGTTTCTCTTCAGTGTACCTGGCTTGTTGGCAAAGATGCCCCTGAGGACACGCAGTATTTCCTTTACTACAGGTTAGCACCTTTTTATACTTATGCAAATAGGTTGTTTCCTCCAGCCTTATAAAACTCATGAGTGTTTCAATGCAGGTATGGCTCTAGGACTGAAGAATGCCAGGTATACAGCAAAGATGCCCTGAAAAGAAATGTCGCATGCTGGTTTCCAAGGACTTTCATCAATAGCAAAGGGCATGAATGGCTTGTAGTACATGTGAACGGCTCCAGTAAGCGTGCCATGATCAAGCCATTTGATCAGCTGTTTGCTCTTCATGCCATCGGTAAGACAGACATCATCCACTCTAAGAGAACAGAATTGCAGAAGGGGTTACAAAGATTACTTAGTTTGATGACTTTTTTACATGATGCTGAGTGATGGTCTAACCCATCTTTGAAAACTATTGGGGCAGGTCGCTTAGCCTTGGTTCTACAGATATTTTGGATAAAGAATTGTTACGGTGGTACTCTCGGCACTGCAGAATCTTTGGCAGCATTCCTGGCCTCTACTAGCTAGATGCCCATAGGATCCTCCCATGTGACCAAAATAAAAGTCTCTGGACATTGCCAAATGTCCCTTGGGTAGAGGGATGCCCCCTAGCTGAGAATCACTACATCAGAAAAAGTGAACTCCCTGCTTATGGGAGCTCATTTCATCTTTCATCAGCTAGTACTGATTTTGTGAAATTTCTACCAACGGAACGGGTCTTGTGATAGATTAGAGGCATCCTCAGCTATTCTGAGCTCTTCCCCCCAACAGGATGGTCCTTCAGCCATCTAAAGACAGCCAGCTTTCTCATCCTGTGGTCCCTCTTCCTCAGCCTACCTCTCCCATCCCATCTCTCATTCATTCCTCTAAGGTCCTGCACAGTTCTGACCTTTGTTGAGTCCAAGTTTTAATTTTTCAACTCTCAAAATAGAAGATGTTTTCCCTCATCCTAGATACTTCTGTTAATAAAATGCATTACATAACATTCTTGGTTACTAACTTTCGAGACTTCAGTAGTGGTCTGGTTATTAGATTGAGCTATAGCGCTAGACTGCCTGGACTCTGATCCAGACTCCTCTACTGACCTTAGACAAGCCGGCCATTCGCCTGTGCCTCAGTCTTTCTTATCTAATAAATGGGGAGAAATTAACACTTCCTATTTGTTTTTTTTTTGTGAGAAATAACTGTGTTAATAATTATAAAGAGCTTAAAATAGTAACTGGCATTAAGTGTTCAATAAATAGGCTAAGATATTGAAAAGGCAAGATCCCGCTTGTGACATAACTATACCAAATGGAACACAGCATGTTTAAAGAATCACCGGGCTGACTAAAAAGGTTATGCAAATCTCTTCAACAGTGTATTTCCTATGCAACTTAAAAATGTCACTTTCATGAAAATAGGCAATGAAAGATGCTGAGGAGGACACAACGATATTAATATGAAAATGAGTATGACCTCAGGAATTCATTTTGTTTTATGATTTTTGTTTTTATTGAGGCCAATTCTTAGGATTACTAAAAGATATAAATACTTTTATGATTAAGAATTTTCTGCTTAGGGAATGGCTAACTCTGAAGCCAGTGGTTCCTATTCTTAGTGGTTATTAGTGATTCATTAATGGTGAATCCTAAGTCACATCTAAAAAAAGGGCACTCAGAAAAAATTTCCATTCACCCCTCATAACTATAAGACAATCAAGTTCTCACTCAGAGGAAAGAACTTGAAAACTGTAAGTAAAAGTGGGCCAGCTGGTGGCACAGTGGTTAAGGCAGCTGAATCCCACATTGCCTATTATGTGGTTCAAGTCCTGGACCCAGAGGCTTGAACACGGCATGCTGAATTTGTGTTTTTGTTCATGTCCAGAATTCCAATAGGAGGAAGCAAGAAATGGCGGAGAAGGGACTGTGAACATCCCCTATGGGGGAGGGTGCTTTCTCACCCTCTAATCCCCACATTCCTCCAAAGCACAGACACCCTCTGGCAAAAAATAAAATATAAAAAGAGAGGCAACTTTAGCCCAATCCATTCTTTTTATGGAAAAGAAAAACCAAAGCTTATAGGACATTATAGCACAATGGAGTATTTAATATATATTCCCAAATAACCAGCAAAGCAAATTTCAAATGTGCATAATGTAAATGAATGCATTTAAAATCAGTGTTGAAGATGGTAAATATATTTATTTCCTTGATTTATTATATACTGTATGTATGTTTCCAAAACCATACTATACCCCACAAAGATGTACAACTATTATACGTAAATTGGAAATTATAATAACATGCAAATTTACAAAACAAAGAAAAAGAAAACCAAAGCTTTCCTCTCTATCCCCTAACCAAAACAAAATATATATGCCAAAACAAAAAAAGAAACAAACTAACAAAAATTGAAGCCCAGAAAGGGGAAGTGATTTTCTCAGAGCCACAGCCAGCAGGCAGTAGAGGCAGGGCCTCCAAGACAGTGTTGTCTCCAGGGTCAGCTTTATCCCGGGCTTGGTCCAACTTGGGAAATAAGAAAGGATGGTGGAGTAGGTCTTGCAAGGAGTTGACAAAGGAAAGGATTCAACCATTCAATTCCATTTGGAGTAATCAACCCTGTAGTTTATGGGAAGGTCACCTTTTATACCACAACAAAGGGGACTCAAGGGAGGACACAGGCTTCCTGTGGCTTGGAGATAAGTTGATTAAAACTGGATGGTAAGTACTTGAGGGGTGCATATCTTTGAAAAGTCCTGAGGAGTGTGGGTAGGTTGGTATTATCAGCACTGGTGGCTGATTCTTAAAAAACGCCACTGACCTCAACTCTCTAACCTAGATCGCGTAAATCCCCCAATGAACCTCACAGCAGAGACTGAAGGAAACAGGCTCTCTATCCAATGGGAAAAACCAGTTTCTGCTTTTCCAATTCATTGCTTCGATTATGAAGTGAAGATAAACAACACGAGGAAGAGTTATCTTCAGGTAATTCTTCAGAACATTCCAGTATTTAATATAAACATTATTTTTAGAAACATTTTAAAAAATTATCTTCAGTAACTGCTCTTGATCATCTTGATAATAACAAGAGGAAAGTTAACATACATCTGTCCAGATGTTATGGGAAAAAACCCAAACCTTACTGGCCTTTTGTTTTAAAAGGATATACTTTTGGTCAAAATTATTACAAAGGATCAGATCAAAACTCATTAGCACATTTGTGGTAACAATATGAAATGGTACAGGTATTATTGAAAACAGCCTGGTGATTCCTCCAAAAAATTAAAAATAGAATTCCCATATGATCTAATAATTCTGCTTCTGAATAAATATACCCCCAAAAAAGGAAACCAGGTATTTAAAGATACATGTATTTAAAACCCATACTCATGGGAGTCTTCTTCATAATAGCCAAAAAATATTTTGTGTGCATATATTGAATTTTTATCCATTTATCCACCAGTGGAAGCTTCCATCAATGAATGGATAAACTAAATACAATATATACTCATAATGGAATATTATTCAGTCTTTAAAAGAAAGGAAATTCTGACACATGGTGTAACATGGAGCAACCTCAAGAACATAAGGCTAAGTGAAATACACCAGTCACAGAAAGAGAAATACTATATGACTCTACTTTTATGAAGTTAGGTAGTCAAACTCATAGAAACTGAAAGTAGAATGGTAGTTTCCAGGGACTGGCAGGAGGGGAGACCAGTGAGCTTGTTTATAAAGGGTATAGAGTTTCGGTTTTGCAAGCACAGTGCGGGAAATTAGTTGCACAAACACAAGAGTAACGCTACTGAACTATGTTCTGCAAAATGGTCACGATAAAAATCTTATGTTATATGCATCTTATCACAATATTTAAAAATTCATTAATGCTAATGGACAAAAATTTCAAGGGCACTCAGTTGCTGTATCACAGGGGTGACTCTAGGGCCCTGCAGTGCTGGAAGCTATATGGCCACCACAGTTAGAATCCCAGGACAGCCTGAAAAACACAACTGGCATGTACAAAGGACCGCACAATCCTGAGAAGCTAGAAGGCTGGGGAAAAGGGCTCATGACATGATGAGACCCTATCAAGAGTGTTTTCTTTCTCTTTTTTTTTTTTAAAAATTTATTTGCCAGAGGGCACATGTGCTCTCCAGAGAGAGACAGTGAAGAGAGGGAGAAAGAGGGAAGGAAGAGAAGGGGAAAGAGGGAGCAAGTGGGGGAGAGAGGAAGGAGAGGGGAAGAGGAAAGGAGGAAGAGAGGGAAAGGGAAAAAGTATCTCCCAGTGGTGTGTGGTCATGCCCCAATCCTTTCTCATCCTTTTGGGATTTGGGGGCATACACTGAATGTGCCCAGTGTGTCTTTCAAGCCATCATGGCTGGGATTTGAACCATGTGGTCAGTCATGAGGGATCTGGCTCCCTTAACCACTAGACCATGGGCTGGCCCAAAAGTACACTTTTTTTTTTTTCTCTCTCTCTTGCTCATACACTTTCTATCATAAAAAAATAAAGAAAAAAGAAAAAAAATTCAAGAGGTAAGAAAGAAAAAGGTGAGCCAATGTTTATTAAGCATCAATTGTGCATCAAGGTTACTCCATCCTCGCAATAACTCTTGTATAATTATCATTCCCAGTTCATAGGCAAGTGAGGCCAGAGAAATGAAATCACTTGCCCAAATTCACAGAGCTAGGACAAAAAAAATAGGAAAGTCTCAATTCAAATTTGTGTCTTCGCGATAGTAAAAAAGTCAATCCAATTTGATCTGATTCAACAAATTGGCTTATTTATGGTAGATATAAAAGTAAATAAGATTGTTCCTGCTATCAAGGGGCCTAGACTAGAGGATGCACCCAGTCTTAAGGTTGCCCTGCCATAGCAAAGGCCAAGGAATTAGAACACAGAGCAGGGGCAAAACAGCTCTTGATGGCTCCATGGAGAGGAATTGATGGAACTTGGAAGGATGAATAGAAACATGCCTGGTGCGACAAGAGAAGGACTTTCTTAGTCAGGGCTTCTTAAAATACTAAGAGTGAAGGACTAGTTTCCTTTTAAAATTTCTAATGCACCATAGATTGGCTCTTTTGTTAAATACAATAAAAGTTTTCTAGAAAAAGCAGGGCCTGCCCCATAGCACAGTGACTCAGGGAGTTGGATCCCACATAGCCAATCACAGTTTGAACCTGGGTCCCAGCAGCTTAAGAGACATACTGGGTGTGTCGTGCACATGTCCCAAATCCAGATAAGATGGAGGAGAAGGGATTGCAGCATGACTGTGCCCTATTTGGCAGGTGCTCTCTCCCTTTCTCTTTCTCACTCTGGTCAGCATACTTTCCCTCTAGCAATTACAAAAAAAATAGAAAAATAAAATAAAAGGGGACTTCAAAACATTTATTTTTAAAAAATGGAAGTATGAGTTTATCCTGATGCAAAAGTTTGAAATCCATATTTTTCATAGTATGCATTTCCATAAACTTTGAAGACCCCTCGTATATTCAGAGACATAAAATACCAGCACGCTGATTGCATGCTTGGATATCACGACATTGTGAAATTGCTATTAAAGTTTCTAAGTTGTGGTCTCAGTTTCTATATGACTTATCAAAGACCAGTAATGGACAGACCAACTTCTGTCCTTTAACCATATTTTGCAGAGCAGACAGAGCTATAGAGAGCAGACAGAGGTAAAGGGAAAAGGAGTAATTCATAGTCTTGAGAAAACATGGCTCCTTTAGCCAAGTGGCAGCAATTCAGATGGTTTGGACCTGAGGACAACACTGGAATCATAATTCTGTATGCCATATTGTGACTTTCTGCAGATAGCTCCATAAGACTTTGGGATTTTTTGAGAGATTTTTGCTATAAGGCATATGTGCTCATTGGAGAGACAGACAGAAAGAGAAACCATGCCCTGAGGGGATGGCCACACCACAATCCCTTCTCCTCCATTCTCTTCTTGGGATTGTGGGCATGCACACTCACGCACTCAGCTTGAGTTTCAAACCACTGGGTCCGGGACTCAAACCAAGGTCGACCATGTGGGAGTCTAGCACCTTAAACACTAGGCCTGCTGGCCCCACTGGTTTCTCTTTTTTAAGACCATAGGCATAGGCAAAGGGAGCCACTGTAGAGTCTCATTCACTAGAAAAACATGACCACACCTGCAGAGAATAACAACGACTTTGTGACAAGGTAAAAGCTGGATATGTGTGGGAGGGGCCACATGGACAGGGACATTGCTTTCATTGTTCAAGCCACAAGTGGTGAGAACCAAAATAGGCAGAGGTCCTAGGGTAGGGGTAAGGAAAGGAGAAACACATCTGTCCAGGACCTACCTCCAGTCTGGGGCCCTGAGTATTAGACAAATGGTGGCAACACTGGCCAACAGAGAGGGCAAGGAGAAAGGCTCATTTGTGAGGGAACGGCTCCTTTCAACACCAGACAATCTAGTGCTAGTCCAAGTTGCCTGTGGCAAGCTAGCAACTGCTGAGCACACGTTGACATGTCCAAACATCCCAGAATGGTCAGTTCAACTGCAGGACAAAACATGGGTTGACTATTAGCAATTTCCCTCTGACTCAACCTAACATATCCTTAAGTTTGGGCTTTACAAAGGTAACTCCACTTAGTTTAATAATGCATGATTTAGGTGTTGGTATTCCTATTTTACCTATGAGAAAACAAGCTCAGAGAGGTCAAGGGACTTGTTCTACAGGTAGCTGGAAATCAAAACCCACCCATCCCAGATTCAAGGTCGCTATTCTTTCTGTTCCTCTTGTGTCCCTTATGCTCCCACCCCCAACCCTCAGCTTTGGTCATCTGAGAAATTCCAGTATATTGAGGATCTATGGGCTTTTCCATAAGGGCCAGGTAGCAAATATTTTAGGCTTTGCAGGCCAGCTTTTGTCACAATTACTCAGCTCTGCCATTGTAGGATAAAAGCAGCCACAAACAACCCATAAATGAGGATGTGTGACTGTGTCCCAGTAAAACTTTATTTAAGAACACTGAAATTCCAACCTCATATAATTTTCATGTTTGACAAAGTTTTTCTTTTGATTTTTTTCTTCTTCTTTTTTTTTTTTTTTTTAATGTTTTTGTCATATGGCACATGCCTTCCCTGGAAAGAAACAGAGACAGTGAGAGGAAAAGTGAGAAATCTCTCTAGAGGATGGCCATGCTGCAATCTTTTCTCCTCCATTCTCTTAGGATTTGGGGCACACACACATGCGTACACATGAACACACGCCTGGCATAAGTTTTAAGCCACAAGGTCCAGAACTCAAACCACAGTCAGCCACGTGGAAGTCCAGCACCTTAACCAATACGCCACGTTAGCTGGAAGGCCAGAAACAGGCAGCAGGCATTAGCTTGCTGAGACACACTGAATACAGTGGAAACTGTGCGCTATCCTTTAGAATATAACTACAGAATATAACGGGCCTAGGTGAGGGGAATTTTGCACCCTGGAATAGGCCATGCCACTCTAGTATTTCAATCCAGAAGCATTGGCTGGGTCCAGACTGGATCATCTAGCCCTCACAATTGATCAGTTTATGTATTTTGGTTACAAGACTGCTTTCCTCTAAAGGGTGACTGCCAACACATCTACACTGAAACAGTCTAGAGTAAACTAATCAATTCCGGTCCTCTTAATTTTAAATTGTTTGCCCAATAGAGAGTCATGTTACCTGTATGTGACCTCCCATTCTTACCACTGGCATAACTTTCGTGTCTAGAGATACTTAGAATGTTTTTTTTTTTTCTATTTAGACAGAAAAAATGACAACCAATGCATTTGTCTCAATAATTGACGATATTTCTAAGTATTCCATTCAAGTGCGAGCAGCAGTGAGCTCTGTGTGCAGAGAGGCAGGGCTCTGGAGCGAGTGGAGTCAACCTATTTATGTAGGTGAGTACCCTTTGTTGATTTTAAAGCAATGACCTTAATCAGGGTCAAAACAGATCATTGCAGAATGTATGCACGTTCACTTGAGGGTCCTGAAATGGCTCTGTGTCTCTGTTATGCCTCATCTTCTATGAGCCTGGGATGGGTGTGCCATTAAGCCAATGAGCTTAAGTGATCAAGTTTATCACTATCATGAGCCCTTCCCAGACCTTATAGACCTATTTTTATTTTCCAGATTTTGTTTCTATTTCTACCCACTTTTTTAGGTCAAACTTTTTATCTTGAGATTACAGACTCACATGCAGTTGTAAAAAATAAAAAAAGATATCTCAAATCCCTTTTGCCCAGTTTTACCCCAGGTAACATATTTCAAATCATCAGTATGGTATTATGATCAGAAAATTTGTAGTAATGATATACTGATCTTATTCAGATATATTTATATGTGCTTATTTGTGTGTTCATTGATATGCAATTTATTTTAATTGCCAGACAGTATCTGCACTCACTAAAGAGAGAAAGGGAGAGAATGTGCCCCCCAAGGTGGGGTTGTGGTCAGGCCCCAATCCTTTCTCCTCCATGTCTCCATCCTGTTGGATTTGGGGAATGCATGCACCTGAACCTGATGTATTTTTCAAGACACTTGGACAAGAATTTCAACCACAGTTGGCCATGCAGATGCATCTCCTATGTACAGCCTTTAGCCACTGCATAGCCCATAGTTTCATGCAGTTTTCCAACACGTGGAAATTCATGTATCCATCTCCATAGTGAAGATACAAAGCCACAGCCTCCCTCCTGTAGCCTTTTTACAAACACTCCCATCTCCTTCCCAGCTCCTCCACCCCTGGCCTCTGGCAACCACTCTAATTTTCTTCATCCCTGTAATTTTTCCATAGCTAATTTAAAATTCATATTTCTGTTTCTTTTCTTAAAGGACATTCTAAAATTGAATAATTTCAGGGACCACAAAATCAGGATCCAGCTCTGGGCCTTCAGCTTAACATTCCCAGTCCTACGCCATGTCCGATGGCAATTCCTTCACCAGGAGATGTGACTTGCACCATGTAGTTGATAGAAAATTTACACCCTGTGCTTGCTATTTTCTTAGATGAGAGACCAAAGGCATTTTATGAAAGAAAGTAACTGTTAAAAACAACTAGTGTATCTAGTGTGTATGCCACACCACTATACTACCTGCGGATGCAGATCTATGAGGTTGACTATTGCACGAAATCTACAAAAGCAGAGACATGGAAAGAACACTGAGGTCTCACACAGAAGGTCCAGGTTTAATACCCAGCTGTGGCACATATTCATTGCATTTCCTCAAACAAGTCCTTTCTCTCTGCTTGCTTGGGTCCCAGGAGAAAAGAAGTAACACCCACCTGCCTGACCCACAGGGAATTGTAAAATAAAAACACAATGACAGCAGAGCACAAGCATTGGAGATTATTTGTCAAGAACTGTGCTAAATGCTCTGTGCGCATCATGGTAGTTCATCCTGTCGATAAACATGCTTTGCAGATGAAGAAACAGGTTTGGAAAGTTTAGGTAGGTTACTTAACTCTGCATGTCATAGAAGGGGCCCCACCCCAGGGTGCCTGACACCAGCCCTTAATTCTTCAGCACTTGCATGGTGTGACAAACTGCAAAATGCTGAACAATTAAAGATCCTGAAAGCCAACACTGTGATTATGGACGGTCAAGCCTGTGAACATCACCTCTCATTAACCCTGCGGGGTATTCACTCCATGAGTGAAGGAGTGAAGGGCCACTAAAGGAGGATACGGAAGAGGATGTTTCCTTCAGGCATGTGCTAAAATTTTCTATTTAGTTCATTCACTTAGGGTACTGGTTGGGTCTCTGGAAACTCTTGGGCAGTGACCCACTTGCCCAAATGGATGTGAATCAGATCTGATACCCACCAGGTAGATTTCCACAGAAGACTGGGAGAGATTAGGAAAAGTCCGAGACATAGAGAACTGTCCTGAGTCTGCAAGGGGGCTGGTCATGCTGAGCTGCTGCATTCTCAAAGGAGAATGGCATCTCCTGGAGTTGAGCGACACACAGTCAGCACAGCCTCATGGTGTGGCCCTGACATCATCAGCTGGAGGGACTCAGAGGAGCAGTGTGGGCCTGCCTGGGGAGAGGGAACTGAAATGGTGGTAAAAGGAACTGAGAACAGGCCAAATTCACCTACTTCATAATTTTACTGAGGCCAGTCTTCTCTCACTCCCCTCCTCCCTACCTAAGTTGATGCTCTAACCTAACTGAGCCAGCACGCCCAGGATCTCCCTCAACACTGCTTCATGTGCACAGATAAATTTTACTCTGCTCATCAAGAGGGAAACAAATAGGAGAAACATTAATCAGTCTCGGGGAATTTGTGACAGGGTTATTAATTTTGTCAAATGCCTATGATAGAAACTTACTTTTTGCTCCTTGCATTCAGATTTCTTTCTTTCTTTTTTTTTTTTTTTCCAAACGCTTTATGTTATTCCCCAAGGCACAAAACTCATCGGTTCCAAGTTATTATTTCTAAGTGTCTTTCCAACATGACCACACATGGAGTTTCATAGGTTCTGTTTAGTGCCATCTAAGGGATCTCTAACTAACCTGGTGGAGACCAGGGACAGAATCCTGGGTGAGAAGCCAGCTGGGCTTTCCGAGTGAGTTTTGAAGGTATAATAAATGTAGACTGTGGAGAGCTTAGAGCCTATAGGGTAGAAAGAAGCAAATCCAGAGATAAAGGTTTTCTCCGTGGCTCTAGCTCTATGAACTGTTAGAGATAACAAAGGGTAATATTTCGGAGCTGGCCTTGTGACCTCCTGGTTAAGAGAATCAAATCCCATACGGCTGATCACAGTTCAAATCCCATCCCGGGACCATCAATTGGCGTAATGGCTATGTCACTGGACTCCCATGTAGTGGACCGTGGTTTGAGTCCCAGACCTGGTGGCTTAAACTCACACCAGCCACATGTACATGTGTGCCCAAGATCCCAAGAGGAGAATGGAGGAGAAGGGATTGTTATATATATGTGTGTGTGTGTGTGTGTGTGTGTGTGTGTGTGTGTATATATATATATATATATATATATATATATATATATATATCCCAGCCCCAGTGGCCTGACAAACACACTGTTCATGTGCACATGTGTGCCCCAAGTCCCAACAGGGTAGAGAAACAGAGGAGAGGGGACTGCAGTGTGACCATGCCCCATCAGGGAGTACTTTCTTCCTCTCTCTCTCCCCCTGGAAAGCAAACACACCTTCTGGCAATGAAGAAAAACCAGTATTTCATTAGTCAAGTCATCAATCTGCTTAGACTGCAGTGTTGAGAAGGACTCTAAGGCGAAATCTAAGTTGTCAGAGCGATTTCCGGCCTTCACTGCAGGGACAGAGTGGTAACCAGCATGCCAGGGTTTGCCACCTTGACCTAGTTTGTCATAACCTCTCTAGCCTCAGCTTCCCCACCTGTAAAATGTGAGTGCTGCACTCCAGGGGTGCTCCCAACTCCACCATTCATTCACTGTTTTCCTCACTGCATCACCCCATCATGAAAGTGCTGAGAGTGAAATCGTGATCCATAATGAGAGTTTATTTTAAGCTTATTTTTAATTTATTATTCACCCTCTACTTCAGAGCTCTCTTACCATTATTATTTCTTAAATAACAGCTTCCTGGCTTGGATCTGGGCTCATTATAATCCCCCCAGGTGTACCTCATTGCTATTATCTATGGCGAATCCCATTTCATTTACTGCCACCCTTTTCATGACGATGACCTGATTAATATTACTTCTCACCTTATAAATCCATCCTTCCCGGAATTTACTCCCCTGCTCACTTTAGGATCATTAGTGAATTTAATCAATGCAGACTTTCCATTTTCATCAAGATGATTAATAAACATAATAGGAAGTCCAAGCCCCTCTGGGACATTCTGCATGGCTCTTCTTTACCCCGGGAGGATGCGGCAATAATTATGCTCAGCTTGCAGCCTACCGGGCAATTTTGCTGCTACATTCATTTCCCGTGGATGCCCTTCCTCATCTTATAAATGGCAATCGGGAGCCCTCCCCTTCCATTTTTACTCCAAGGCCCAACTCGAATATCACCCCTTTCCTAGATAGGAAGTCCACCCCTTTATTTTAAGGTAAAGAAATGGAGGCTCTGAGATAGTAAATGGTGGTAGTTGTCAAACAGCCAAGATGCAGCAATTAATGTGTACTTTTCTCAAATCAGTGACATATGAGCCAGTTAGCAAATTAGAATTGATTCCATGTACTAATTAACCCATGCTAGCCCGAGGTTATTTCATAAAGAATGAATCACAGGGTGAGTTTTGACTGATGAGGTACAGGATGGGGCAGGTGAGGCAGGTGCTGTCTGGCCTGGTAGGCCAGGACCCCGGTCAGCCAAGAGGGCCTGCAAGCAGAGGCGGGGCCGGCAAGTGAGTGGTCTCTGCCTGCCCTGTGCAGAGCCCCGGGCAGGCCCACTGTCCTAGGATTTCCAGTGCTTGGATTTTTTAAGTTTTTAAATGGAAGTAGCAGTTTCATTTTATCAGTACTCGTTATCAACTGTCCATTAGCTGGCTTCTCTGTCTTATCTTAAGAGCTAACTTCCCAATTTTTACAAGTCTTTCTCTTTTTTAAAACTTTCTTAACTTCCGGATTTTTCTGTTCCTTTGTTATCTTTGCTATCTCCTGTTTACTGGAAATCTTTTTTGTTTCCTGACCCTGGCCTCACTGAAACTTTTCATTTAAAATTTTAAATTTTTTTCCTGAAGGCCATCGTTTTCTCTTCTCCCCACTTCATGTAAAAATGCCAAGTGTGAAATAAGCATTTAGGAAAATGAATTTTCTCAAAGCTATGTCCTTCCCCAGGGGAAAGAGGGTGGCAGGCGGCTCTACACTGCACCGACACATGACTGTATCTGGTCAGGCTCAGCCACTGAGATTTGCTTCTCTGTGACAGATCTCACCCATAGCCACAG